GTACATATAAAATACACTGTTTTTGTCTGCTAGAGAGGGATTTTCACGGCATATTCTGCACCACATCTCTGTGTGTTCATCATTTGTTTGAAGCCAGTTCACCTCCTGCAACCACTTTTCCGAGAATACGCGCTTCATTTGCGGTTCGGACTCTTTCTGACATTTCTTTGGAAGTGGAGGAACACCAAAGTAATTGCTTAAAGGAGCTTCTTCGACAGCTTTAAGAGTTCTAAGCAAATGTCTGTCCTCTTTCAGAAAATCTTATGTATGGAAACGCGCATTGCAACTTCTTATCTAGTGCGTCTTTTATTTTGACAGCACATGCGCACCTGTGGACCACTTATGTGCACACCAGTGTATATAGTATATCCTATACTGTCTCGCATTTTACATTATATTTGATTTTATTGTATTTTGAGTTTGTATGGCTGTTACCTTGGTCATGTCAAAGAGATTTGATTTCAGTGGGACTTCCATGTAAAATAAAGATAAATGAATACCAAAAATCATTTCTGTGGTTATCGGGACATAAAAACTGCATGCATTGAACCAGTTGTTTAAAAGACTAGTAAATCAAGTGGTCCAAAAGGGAAAAAAGTTATACAGTGGAACCCCGACTTACGAATACCCCGTTTCACGAAAAATTCAAGTTACGAAGGCACTGAACGACAGTATTTCGGCCCGTGTTACGGCAAAATGCCCGAGTAATGAAATCTGCTGGCTCTGATTGGCTGAGCCTACAATGCCTTCCAAATCATGTGACAACCCCTTGGCTTCCGTACTTGCGCTTCGCAGTTCCACTTGAACGACGTTGTTCTAGTTAGCAATTAGCCTATAGCCTATCGTTCAGCATCGCCTCACTCAAAACGCGCAATGGGTGCTTCGACTTACAAAGATTTTCGAGTTACGAAAGACCCTCGGGAACAGATTAATTTCGTAAGTCGGGGTTCCACTGTACTAAATTGCGCATTTGTTACTGTGTGTGCGTTCCACCTTTGTAGGTCAACGTCCACGCGCATGTGCAAGAACACATTGCTTTGTATAATCAATCAGTCATGTTCTACATCAGAATACTGCAGAACAGCATTCATTAACAGTTATCACCTATAAGCTATCTTTTTTGTTGTTGTTTTCAACTCCCCATCACAGAGAGGGAACAGTGCCATCGGAACATCTTAATAACAGGAAAAATTAGAGTAATTTGATTAACAAACCAGTAGTGGTGCAACGGATCATGGTTGATCCGTAATCCGAACCGATCCCACTCCACAGTTCAGCACGCACGTGATCCGAAGATTTGAAAAAGAAGAAAAAAGTATGTGTATGGTGCACGTGATCAGTCTGTCAAGCGATAGCTATGGTCAGCGCTAGCGGTCCAAGTGGAGGAGCAGAGGAGTTTGCGGTATTTAAGCAGTCCTTTGCTGCCCAGTCCGACCGGGCTAAAGCTATTACAAAAGCTATTGGGGTGTTTAGCTGCAGACGGGAGGCCGTATTCTGTTGTGCAAAACAGGGGGTTTAAACTAGTCAATGTGCTAGTTGACGCATTGACGCCGTGCAGCCCCACGCACGGGGCGATCCGCGGTAACTAGTTAACACGTTAATGCAGTTATGGCATTAACGTCATCTTAACGAGATTTACACTGACAGCACTAGTTTAAACTATGATGAACGTGCTTGAGCCACGCTATGA